CGATGCTTGTGTTGAGRTGWAMCTTCTTGTGTTTTAGTTTATGGCCATTGTTCCTCATCCTGTCACTGGGCACCACTGAAAAGAGTCTGGCACCACCCTCTTGGCACCCTCCTTTGAGAGGTTTATGTGCATTAATGAGCTCCCTCTCAGTCTTCTCCAGACTGAACAGGCCCAGCAGTCTCTCCTCACGAGAGATGTTCCAGATCCCTCATCATCTTTCCACCTGACCCTCTCCTTGTCTTTCCCATCCTGAGGAGCCTAGAACTGGACACAGTATTCCAGATGTGGCCCCACCAGGACTGCGTAGAGGGGCAGGATCAGCTCGCTCAGCCTGCTGCCACACTCTTCCCGATGACAGGACACCATTGACCCTCCTGGCCATAAGGGCACTGTTGGCTCATGGACAGCTTGTCATCCCCCAGGACCCCCAAMTCCTTCTCCCCAGAGCTGCTCTCCAGTGGGTCAGTGCCCGGCCTGTGCTGCTACTTGGGGTTATTCCTCCCCAGGTGCAGGACCCCGCACTTGTCCTTGTTGAACCATATTATGTTTCTCTCTGCCCGATTCCCAGCCTGTCCAGGTCCCACTGGATGGCAGTGCAGCCTCACCATGTATTGCCCACTCCCCCAGTTCAGTGTCAGCAAAATGGCTGAGGGTGTCTCCAAGCCCATTGATTAACACCTTGAATAAGGCTGGACCCAGGATTGATCCCTGGGGTATGCCAGTGACTACAGACTTCCAACTGGATTCTACTCTGTTGATTACCCCTGAGCTCTGCCATAGCTCTTAAACATTTTACTGAAGTGGTGATTAAAACATGCTTCCATATTCTAAACTCTGATCACTGTTTACAGCTTCCTATTTTTATTTTAAGTGGATGGATAAATTCTTGACCTCTTTTAAAGGCAGTGGATGATTTAGCATTGACTTAATCAGATTGAACTTTTAAAATTTAAATTAGATTTTATTTATTTAAATTATATTTTAATTTAACATTTTAATTTCATGCAAACCTAATTGTATTGTATTTCTGACATCCAAGATAGAGCAGTTTCCCTGCCTTCCCCTCACCCTTGGGCCTTGCTCATTCCAGCTGTGGTAAGGCTGCAGAAGACTTGGAGGCTCTAAATTTAACCCAAGAAACACTTTGCTCCATCATGTTTTTACAGAGAGGGATGCATGTCCTTTATTTGAGAAGGGAGTCTTCTCCTCATATAGGACACAACACAAGGTCTCCATTGTGCCACTGTGATACAACAGATAAACTTCCTGGCTAACTGATCTTTTTAATCTGATAACTTTAAATGAAGTGATATTTTCAGAAGTCATGCTTTCCTTAAATAGCACATATTTTTGATAAGAGAGAAGCTGTGTTATTAAAAAAAAAAAAAAAAAGCTTTCCTTAAATAGCACATATTTTTGATAAGAGAGAAGCTGTGTTATAAAAAACAAAACTATGAAAGATGCCTAGAGTACGTTTAAAAATGAGAAACAACAGCAAATAGGGATCTCTCTTCAAAAATTAAAATATTTATGCAGTGGAACAACCAAAGCCAGAATGTTAAAAACAGTATTTTAGACACTGTATATACATCTCATACAAGCAGACTCAATAGCAATACAAATACTCAATAGCATCTTTTWAATGATAATTTAAATAATACATAATTCAGTATTTTTGTCAAACTGATCCACTCTCCATCACTGAAAGCAAGGTAAATTTGAATTTGAATATATTCTTTGGCCTTATATCTTAATTTAGCTCTTCTTTTTTTTCTCATTTTTATGGAAAACAATTTTGACACAAATTCAGGCTGATTATGGCAGACTTTGGCACACCAACCTATTATTAATTTCTTTGAATTTCTGTACTTGTTTAAATTTTTTTTAATGTGTGTGGCATACAATGATTCTGATTAAACATTCTATTGGTACAATAAACTAATATCATCTTGTTTATGAAATTTCTTATTTCATAGCATCTGCCAAATTCAATATAAAGAGTTGATAACATACATTTCCTACCTCAACCCATCTTTGAGAAACTGTGAACATGTGGGAAAATATGAAAGCTTTAAATAATAAAAGAAGTGTCCTTGCTAACAAACTGAATTCATAAGTAGTCATAATTTTTGCAGTCTGCTAAAAATGACTGAACTTCACAGCTGTGGAGGCAAGCCTATATTCTTCCTCTGCAAGTTCTTCTACTCAGCCACCTCTGAGCAAAGAGCTGTATGATTACTCAGCTTGCCCTATTCTGAGGATGGATTGCAAGACTCGGCATTTTGATTTYGGCAGATGAATAGGAAACTGCAGGGTGCGAACTGTAGGATGTAAAGTTGCAGCTTGTCAGCTGTTTTATAAAAACTGCCTCTGTGCACATCCTTACACTGCTGTATGKCGTGGTGGAAGTGGTGAGTCCATGGTGCTGAATGTTTATTCCTCTCGCGTGTGCCATGAGGTGGAAATWCCAGGTGTTAGTCTTCGTGATTGACACAGCAGTGTGTCAGCAATGTGCCAGTCATGGAAGCATACGTGATGCACACTGAAATAGCAGCTCTGTAACATTTCCTTGACAAATTCAGCAGTGAGTTACTCCTCTTCCTTTGCTGCATCTGAACACGCTGTACTTACCTGCATAGCCCACAAGAATAGTGAGGGACTGAGGAAAGGCTTCTGAGGGAAGTATGATGTCATCAGAGAACAAAAAATTCTTCTGCATGAAGTCTTATACCTTCCCCTTTATTTCTGAGAAAAGAGGTGCTGCTTCCCTCACAGAATACCAGAATGGGGCACATTGTAAGGAACCACAGCTGGTCATCTGGTCCAAGCTCCCTACTCAAGCAGGGTCATCCTAGAGCACAGGATTGCATCCAGAGACTTCACAATCTCTGTGGACCATCTGTTCCAATGTTCTTCCTGTTTCCCCTTGCTCTGTTGCTCGGCATGAACAAGAAGAGCCTGGATCCATCCTATTCGGATCCTTGTCTTCAGATATTCATAGATATCGATGAGGTTCCCTTCTCAGCTGTCTCTTCTCCAGATTGAACATGCCCAGCTCCCTCAGCTTTTCCTCATAAGAGAGATGCTTCAGTCCCTKAATCATCYTTGTTGTTCTGAGGAGCCCAGAACTGGACACAGCACTCCAAGCACCTCACCAGGGCTGAGTAGTGGGGCAGGATCACCTCCCTCAACCTGCTCTCAGTGTTCTTCCTAATGCACCCCAGGACACCATTGGCCTTCTTGGCCACAAGGACACACTGCTGGCTCATGGACACCTTGTTGTCCACCAGGACCCCCTGGCCCTTCTCCACCGAGCTGCTCCCCAGCAACTCAGCCTGTGCTGGTACCTGGGGTTGTTCCTCCTCAGGTGCAGGACCCTACTCTTGCCTTTGTTGAATTTCCTCTGTGCCCATCTCTCCAACCTGTCGAGGCCCTTCTGAAGGGCTGCACAGTCCCCTGGGGTATCAGCCACTCCTCCCAGCTTTGTGTCATCAGTGACCTCACTGAGGCGGCATCTGCCTCTTCATTCAAGTCATTGATGAACACTACTGGGCCCAGTACTGAACGCTGGGGACACCACTAGTGACGGGCCTCCAACTACACCCTGTGCCACTGATTGCAACCCTCTGGGATCTGGTGTTCAGCAAGRTCTCAATCCACCTCACTGTCCTCTTATGCAGTCCACAATTCCTGACTTTGCTTTTGAGGATATTGTGAGAGACCTTGTCAAAAGTCTCTCTGAAGCAGAGACAGACAATACTCACTGCTCTGCCCTCATCCATGCAGGTAGTTTCTTCATCACAAAAGGCAATCAGGTTGGTCAAAAATGACTAGCCTCCAGTAAATCCACATTGACTACTCCTGACTGCCTTCTTGTCATGCATGTGAATAAAGATGGCCTCCAGAAAGAGGTGCTCCATGACCTTTCCAGGGATGAGGTGATTTAGTCTGTTGTCGCCTGTACAAATCACAAATAGAGGACAAGACTATCTTGCCTCACTTGCCTCACCTGAGTTAATACTGTTACATTATCCTGCTTGCTGTCACAAGAAGAAATGCTATTGCAGTCATAAATTAGTATCTGTTAAAAAGCTGTCGATTTGTGTCTCTTTTACTCATAACAAGTTAATTTTGTGACTCTGATTCTGAAAGTGCAGATCCTTCCAAATACATCAAACTGAAATTATTCCATCACAAGTACATTGAAATGATGCTACTTGAGAGAAAAAGTTAAAGGCATGTCTTACAACAATTTACCAGTTGGAAGTGAAATTGTTTTATTGAAATATGCTGCCTATATACATTTTTACTATTGTGCTTTTACTGTGTTAGGAAAAATAAATTTGCAGGGGTTTCTTTCCTGATAGTACTGCAGCAGTAACACAGGTATAATAAGTATAATGAGGCCTATAATCTATTTTATAGAGATAGAATAATTTATAAGTTTTAGTGATTCAGTCAAGTTTTAGTTTTTGTGAAAATTTTATTCAGAAATCTTAACTGGCAGTAACATGTGATGGTCAATCYCTTCTCAGATTTCCTCATGCACCTGTTTGGCAAACTGTTGGGAAAAGGTTCAGGAAAAAGCATTGTGGAAGCCATTATATGACAGGGATGCCATTTAGTTTGTTTAATTTAGACCTAAAATGTGACAATTTACTTTCCAAGCTAATCTATACAGATTAATCTCTGGACTGAATGGAGATTCATTTAAGAGGGTATCCCACATGGATTAGTTGTAGGAATTAATATGTACAAWAAATTTTGTTAGGAATGAGTTTCTGACCTAAACAATTGGTAGAAAGTAATCAATCTTTGGCAAAGTATCTGACACAAAGTGTGCATCCAAAACATCTCAATGTATATTCTGAAATCATTAGATTGAGTAAATATAATTTTCATGCTATGCCATTTAAAAAAAAAAAAAATTATAATACCAAAGCATTTTCCAGAATTTAAAAAAAGAAATGCTGTAATAAACAGCCTTATGCTAGGTGGACTAAAATATAAATAATAATAATCTCTATTCTGTGTAAACATTGTTCTCAGATACTGTGCAGGCTGCTTTGGAACTTGAAATAGGTACCTGCTTTTCAAACCTGTTTGAAAATCAGAAATGTTTTTCTTAGGAACATCCAAAATTCGGGTATCATTTTTTTGCTTGATTTTATTTGTTGAATGCTATTTGAAATTGTTACACTTTCAACTCATGGCAGTACCATGATGAAAGCTGTTGATGAAATGCCCATGTCTGGGTCTCTTAAACCTACTTTGAGATAACTTTGTGCTTCAATAATAATTTTGCCATTTTTCCTTTTCTTTGAAGGCAGGTTAAAAACAGTAGATGACCCGTCATCATCTACACATTTAGCTGCCCTTTGTTTCAYTCACCATAGTACTTAAGCTTATGCAGGCTTGTCAGTCCTAAAAGACTCATTGCATGTAATTGTTCTATTTCCTTAGAATAGAAGCTCATGGAGTAGAAAGCCAGATCAAAAATTCAGTTTTTAGTTGATCGTGAATTTATTAGAAAGTAGAACAAACCAGTAACTAACAGTGATGTGAACATACCAGGTGCCATGTGTAGCAAAAATATTTGCCACAAGTTCTGTGATCTGCAAAATTKTATCCTATGTAAGCCTTCAGTGAAGCTAATCCAAATCCATCAAAGCCAATTTTTGTCACGGGGTCGCGAGGATGGCTCTGGATTTATACTTTTTAAGAGGTTCTCAACTGCAGGTATTTCCTGCAGCATATTTGCCATCTGACCCTTACCCATTTTGTACACTCCCTTAACGTCAATTATAAAATGCTCATTTCTATTTTTGTGACTTTACCTTCTTTTCATTAAAGAGTTTACTCTCAGCATGTAATTAACGCTATTTATTCTACTGCAGGAAAAGGGTATGATCTTTACTGGGATAAATAGCGTCATTTGTGTAGGTTTGATTTCCTCTCCCTCGGCCGCCATCTATTGTACCTTTCTATTTTGTCACTAGATGGCAACATAGCAACACTCCAGATCAAAATTTGCTATAACCAGAGATGAGATTTTTCTATCCTGTTTTTCACAGCAGGGCTTAAATAATTCACTCCCCTCCTTGAAATGGGAACTTATGCATTCTGGCAATTTCAGTAAATTGCTTCTTAATGGTGTGAATTCTAGCATTACTTACTAACTGCTACTTTTTTACACAACTGAAGTGCAGAATAATCAAGTCACAGAAAATAAAATTGCTTCATTTACAGTCTTTTTTCTCCTACCAAATCCATTGGCAGGAAGAGAATCCATTGARTCATCTGAATTATTTCACATATGTTGGTTATTTTACAGAAACACCTTTTATTGAAAGCAGTAGCACATATACTCCYATCTAATAGACCAGAATTTGCATAATTTTTTACTTTCCAAATATTTCATKTATTAAGATAAGTCTGGAAGTTTATGTGTGATAAAAACAACTGAAGTAAATTTGGGGTGAAATAACTTGTATCCGTTAATCATATGCAAGAGATGTCTTACCATCCCTCTTGAGAGCACTAAGACCAYAGACTAATTCAAATTCTAGTCAGACTGGACAGGATGAGTATCACTAGACAAGGTATGAAAACTGAAACTTCAAGCTCAGTTTCTCGGGAGATACATTTACCAGTGAAATGAGAGAAAAAAGAAACAAGACTAATTCTAAGTGATCTACCAGCTTCTTTTGTTTTTGGAACCTTAAACAGACTCAACAGTCTTGTTCAGTATTTGGTAAACAGTTAGTGAGAGGCTCTTAGGTTTCTTAAGTCTTCTCTGAAGCTCAAGTTCTTAGGAAACCCTAAACAGTTTGTTAGAGTAAGAATAGGCTCCGTCCCGCATCCTGTTTTCTCCTGAAGCCATAATTAGAAAGCTTAATACTCAGCTGAATTGTTTGATTAAGTTTCTGTTAGCCCTGCTGTATTCTGATGTATTGAAACAGAATTGCTTGGGCCTTGGTATCTCAACAAGTCATCTGCTTCAGAGATCCATTATCATCCTATGTATTTAATGAATGAGTTGTATTCTACAAACCCAAATCAAGGAAGTAATATTGGAAGGCTGTTGATTAACTTTCATTATCCACATTTTCTTTTTCCTGGGAATGTTTTCAAACTCATGGGGTTCAAACTCACTCCAGGCTTGATGCATTGGAGCTACCAGAGCCATGTTCATAWCAGCATATACCCAAATAAAGTGACAGTGTGCTCTGCACCCATATATGGGAGGATGACACAGATCATTGATCTTGAAAWGGAACCCATCAATGAATGCTTCAGTAGAATTCATTAATAATGTAGTGAATACTGAGCATGGCCAAGTGAAACATATAAGGATGTAGAATTTCATAATGTGATTTGTTATTTTTATGGGATTCTCTAAGTTAGCTGTTTACCAAGCAAACTAACATTTTCTGCTTTCAGTGCATTAGGGATGCATAACTGTCAGCGTGACACACAGACAGAATGTGCAAGAAACTAAGTCCAAAGATTCAGAAACTCCTGTTTTCAGGTTTGCTAGTCTGCATGATTTATAATAAGCCTATTCTTACACAAAGGTTGCCTCTTTTAAGTCCCATTTTCTCTTACTGCTCATCGACACAACTCTCACAGTACTATCACCTGCTTGGTGTATGYCTCAACATGGCTTGGTATTCGGTCTCCTTAAACTGCCTTCGACACACTCCCAGTAGTTCAAAGGTTACRAGAAAGGTGGAGAGGTGTCCTGAATAACAGTGAAAGCAGTATTATTCCATGGGGTTATAATGTTACTCTGCCAGATATTTCAGTCAGATACAGTTCTCTGAGATATGAATATGCCTTGTTTGGTAAGCTTAGTAGGTATAGTCCAGCTGCAGGCAAATGATGGTATTTTTCTTCCTGATTTTATTTCATCATCTCTTATAGAATTATAACAGAATCTGAAAATAGTTGTGTATCACAGAAGGTGCAGTTCTTCTACAAACATCAATTATGTTGCTGAATGTTTTTCAGTCAGTTCAATTAAGTGAGGTTTCCATCTTTCCAGTTTCTCTGTTTATCTGCTGTTTCTTCAATTTCCAGATTATGAACACTGATTGGACCTGCAGTATCTGAAACATGACAGCAAAAATACATGGAAAGCAAACAGTATTTCAGGATTGCTTTGTTTTAGCTATTTCTTTTATCATTGCAAGACCCAAATAATCATGAAAATTGTATTGCCTATTTCATGTCCTAGCCATGAAAATTGTATTGCCCTCTGCTCCCCACAAAACAGTGACCTCTCCATTAAATAGTTGGTGTATTTTTCAACAACAGTTTAGTTATAAATTTTTGGAACTTCCTATACAAATTATGGATTCAAAACTTATACAGAAATAAAAGTACCGCTAGGTGCTTTGACCCGAGGCCTAAATAATAATGTAACTGATGTGACTTAACAGATTATGGAACCATATTTTTAATAAAGGATATTTCTTATAAGTGAGAAGCTAATAGTTGTTTTTTTTTTTTAACTTGGAGTAAAACACAAGCTTCCTGAAAGTGAAATAACTGGAATACATTCCAGATAATAGTGTTCATCCACTATCCAGTGCAAGTGGGCTATCTCTAGTTCTCATTTGACATTTAAGATGAGGATGGTCTTTATTAAATGTCTAGATGAATCTATTTTAGATCTCCTTTCCAYTGATGTAATGCTGGTTTTGGAATTAAAAATGACCAGAGAGCAACAAGTTTATTTAAAGAACATTTTGACATAAGGTCAGCACACTGTCTTTCTCACTGCATGAGCTCATGCAGCTATATGAAATCATTTTTAGGATCACAGCTTAAATTTGTAAATGCATTTCAGTGAAGCTCTTCCAATTACATTAGCTGCAAATGTATCCCAAACCATCTTGATTTCTTAATGTACATCCTTATAATATATACTTTACCTAAACACTGAGTCTTTTTTCTAACAGAGTGGAAAACAAGTACTTGGCAGAATGGACATCTTCTTAGATAYAATGAAACATTTATATATTCATAAAATAGGAGATACAGCAAACTGAGTGAAGTTCTCGAATTTTCAAAATGTTGCTTTTTTTATCTATAGAGCTTGTTATCTATGACTCAGTCCCAGCTGAATTAATGTTGATGTTGATGTTGATCTACAGAGGCTGCAGCTCCTCCACTTTCTTTTTTTCAGTTTATAATGAAGACAATTTTAGGGCTTAATAAATTTTTACTTACCTGTTCCTTGCAGAACTGTTATGAGGATGACATGCATAAAAGCAGCATCATCTGGGCTGTTGTGTATGATGTGTTTACTAACACAAAAACAACACAGCTAATGGATATTTTCAAGAATTTGGATCAAAACCTTCTCTATCAGGAACTKTTTACTGGATAACTATCTATCAGGTTATTCTCAGTCAAGCATATAATGTTTTAGAGTAGTTATTCTTTTATTAAGTGGTAAAGTAATAGCAATTTCAGACAGGAGATAATTGAAGCTACCCTTTTGTAAAKTACAGTAGCAAAAAACTCATTTTATGTTAAGACTGAAAGTTATTATTTTTAGATTAACAGATACAACATGAAGAGTTAGCAAATTAGAGCTATTTATTCTTCCAATATTGTAAACCTGTATCTGTAACAGTATGATTCCAATAAGAAAATTCTGGGTTTCAGCCTTAGCATTTGTTACAGGAAGATAATTCGATTATTTTTGTTTGATTCTCTTTGGCTAGAAGTATAATGRCATGGTAATTGATTCTTGCCAAGAGGTGACTAAAATGGCATTTTGGTACATCAAAGAGGGATTATTTTGCAATTTTCTGTCATTGTAAGGCACTGATTTTCAGATTACAATCACAGCATCATAYTGAAGATATGTGGAACACAACTGTTACTAAGAAAAGTCTTTTTGCTCATTATCCTAACCTAAGAAAACCTCATAAAGTTTTTTCCCAAGGTAGCTGTTCCTCTTTACTTGGCTATTACAAGAGAGTTTGGCTACTTGAGTCATCTGGTAACTGTGCAAAAGACCAATCTGAGTCCATCTCCATGAAGTTCAGAGTTCAGTGGAGCAGTACTGGACATCACCATGGTCATGTCCTGCAAAATCGTTCATGAAACTTGAGAGATCTTACTCTACAATTTTGAGCTGCTGTTCTATTCAAAAACCCTTCAGACAGTCCAGGACCATATGGAAAAAATCTCTCATACAAAATTAGCCACAATAAATATCTGTTGGGACAAGGCTTGCAAGATGAAGCTATCAGGCTTACTGGATGCTCAGTCTTATCTACTGATACATCTGATAGGGCACAGAGGGCAGATCCTAACAAGGCAGCCTGACAATCACTGCACACAGAGCAGCARCTGAGGCACTGCAAAGAACAAGAAACAGTCAGACAGACTGTTCAGCCCAACCATGGCAGAACTGCCAGCCCAACCATGCACGCTGCAAGCAGCCAGGCCAAGGGGATTGCCAAGAATGTTTTCAAAAAGCACTTGATAAATATTTCTGCTAATGACCTCTAGGTACCATGGAAAGGCATGCTGACAGTGCCATGAGAGAATGTCAAGGCACTGAAGCTGTTTTCTTGTTTGTCCTTTTAAAACAGAACTCAGGGCTCACAGAAGACTCTACCTAAGTACCATTTTTGTATTGATTCAGCAAGAAGCATGAGAAATAAACCCATTAATCAATTTTCCAATGCTCTTTGTTGAGAGTTTCTGCCACAAGGCCACTGCAGCTTCCCTAGCTGACCCACAAAAGTCTTGTGTTACTACCCCTGGCATAGGCAAGAGAATTCTCTGTCCAAATGGGAAGACAAGCTGAGCCTTTGACCTTTTTTCTTGTTAGACTGTGGGATGTTTAAAATAGAAGTGCACTTTMATATACAGCAGCTATAAACAGATCTGCATGACTCAAAATCAGGTCCAGCAACATACCTTACATGAGATAATGATTGAGCTCAAATGCAAAACAAAAGTATACAGGAGATGCAAACAGGACAAGTTACCAAGGACATGCASGGACAGAATTGGGAAAATTTATCTTAGCTGGAACTGAAACTAGCAAGGAACATGAAGGGTAATGAAAGACAGGTTTGTAGGTACATCAGTGACATAAGAAAATGGAAAATGTGAGCCCACTGCCAGGTCAGGCTGGAGATCTACTAAGGATAAAGAGAAGGCTGAAGTATTTAATGCCTTCCTCCTTCCCTCASTCTTCATTGATAAATTCTGTTTTTAGATTTTCCAGGTCTCCATTAAATTTTGTGAAGTTACTACTTACAGTATCAATGGATCTAARCAGGGACTCCTTAGATAAGCTGGACAAGCACAGTTCACAGGATGAGACAGGATATCTTTGTGACTGCTGAGATGTGGCAGGTGTCATTGCAAAGCCACTCTTTGTTGTCTTTGAACAGCTGTAATGATCGAGGGGAAAAGGCAATCAGTAACAAATTATTTTAAWTGCTCATCTATTCTTTGTGTCAGATTTTTACATCTTTTACAATCTTTTAAGAAAATACACAAAAACTGCAACTCTCTGTGAATCTCAGGCACCTCGGGCTTCTCTAAATTCTCATTTATAAAGCTGAAAATTGGTGTTCCTCCAATCTTGGTTATTTTTACATCTTTGAAAATGAAACAGRTAATAGCATTTGCCATAAAGACAAGAAACCAGACTGCTCTTTGAGTGTATTGCTCCAACACAAGAATAGGAAAATGTCCACCATAGAGTAAATGTAGCACAGATTGGTAAGCAATGATTTTGGTTTGTGTTCTCTGAGATTTTCTGTGTTCCCATTAAGGGCTCAGACAGCTTGTTTTTCAGTTTTACAATGCAGAAGTCCCTGAGTTCACACACTGTGCTTCTTTTGTGGTGACAGTGCCCATAAGTGATCTCTGCCCCTCTACCAAACAGCCAGAGTCATCTCTGTGAGCATCCTGGAGTATACCCGTGCTGTACTTCCTCACTCTCCAAACTACGGAGATAAATGCCAACTGCTACGACACACACCATATATGGCAYAACTTTCTGCAGTATTCACTCATGCTTAACATTGCTTCTGACACCTACTTAATCAGTCCTTTTGCTCAAAAGAAGGATTTTCCTTTTGAAGATAACTGCATGAACATATAAACTGCATCACTGAGAAAGTAAGAGCAGTAATACTGTTTTACTCCTCTGTGTATTAAGTCTAGTATTTAAATCCCAAAATTCAATTTTTAAGTCAATTAAATGACACTTTTGGGATTTATTCTTCATAGAATGTGATTTTTTTCCCTCTCCTGTCACTACAGGCTAGAAATTATGTTTTCCTCTCCTTCAGCTTCACAATGCATCTTATAGACAGAAAACAAACACAAGAGAAAGAAGACTAAGTGATTTGTTACAAGTCATTMCAACATTTTGTATTTCTGTCTTCCAGTTAACGCATACTGTTAGCTGGAAATGGAGTCCCTGCCTTTTCAGGTAAGGTTTGACTCCTGCAGAGTTAAGATACATTCATATTTTCCTCAGTATTCTCCAATGTGTAAGCAACTTTGTCCCACAAAACTTTTTGGTTTAATAACCACCAGTTTCCTAGCTTTTAGCCAAATGAGTAAAGGAGTTATGGACCTATCCACATGTTTTACTGGCAAAGCAAGGCATTACTGCCAACCTCAGGTTCWCACACCAGTCCTTCAGGTGCCTGAATTACATATTCTGACAATCAGGAGCCAGACCTGTTGTAAGTTTTTGTGACASTATTCGTTTCCTCTAACTGAAGATCATTCCCCAAAGCAGGAATTGCTTTTTTAACCGCCTGCTGTTATGCTGTAGTACTCAAGGGACAAACCTGTTCTGCACAMAAAATGGAGCTCAGCAGCCAATTGCAGCTAAGAAAGAGGGCCTAACATCTAAATGTCTGCAGCCAAAAATGACAGTGGAAGCCAGGATACCCCTGGGGTGGGAACATCCATCCCTCCTACAGCACCTTTGTCCAAAGGGCACATCCACAGCCTGCTGTGTACATCTTTTTTTACAGTGCTATGAAGGGRCAGTACTTGTCTTTATAAAACTGAGTCTGCTGGAAGAGAGAAGGCATTTTCTCCCCTGTTCTTCTCCAGCTTTTAACAAATAGATTTTTTGTTTAGCCGCTGCTTGACAAGATTACAGATGAAGCTTACATGGCAAGGTTACTCTCGAAGGTGCCTGCCGCCTTRGAAGCGGCCATGCCTCCACCAGTGGGTTATCCCCAGGTCGGCACGGCTCAGGCGTTCTTTCTGCCGAACCAATTAACATTCCCTTTCTTCACTGAGCTCAAACGTGAAATGGCGGTGCCGGCGGATGCTCCGCACGCGGCCACCACACGGACTGGGGACAAACTAATCCTGCTCTGGGAAGGAACAGCGCACGAATGGCGGGCACGACACGGGGCAGGGCAGGCGGGCACTGCGGGCACTACCGGCACAGCCGTGCGGGCGGGGCYGGGCCGGGTCCCCAGAGGCCCGAGGGACCCACGGCAGCGCGCTCCAGCCGCCCCGGACACCTCCCCGGGCGGAGACGGAACGAGGCCGAGCGAGGCGCCACAGCACACAGCCTGCCCCCGAGCACCGAGCCAGGCCGCGGGACGGCGCCGGGCACGCCGGGAGCCGCATTCCCGCCCGCATTCCCGCGCGGCGCGCCGGGAGCTGTAGTCGCGGCCGTGCCACTCCGCTCGGGCGCTGGGGGCGGGCTGGAGCGGCTCCATTTTGCGCCCGTCGGCGGGGCTGCCCGGCCGTCCCG